AGTCAAGTTCCTCCACACTAGACTCGCTCATCAATGTCCTTATGGACCTTGCTTTGTGCACTGGTGCGCATTCATGTTGGAACTGGAAGGGTCCATCCCCAAACTGTTTCCACAAAGTTGGGAGCATGAAATTGTCCAAAATGGCTTTGAATGCTGCAGCATTAAGAGATTCTTTCACTGGAACTAAAGGGCCAAGCCCAAACCCTGAAAAACAACCTCACACCATAATCCCCCCTCCACCAAACTTTACGCTTGGCACAATACAGTCAGGCAAGTACCGTTCTCTTGGCGACCACCAAATCCAGACTCATCCATCGGATTGCCAGACAGAGAAGCATGATACGTCACTCCAGAGAACACGTCTCCACTGCTCCAGAGTCCAGTGGTTGCGTGCTTTACGTCACTGCATTGTATTTGGTGATGTAAGGCTTGGATGCAGCTGCTCAGCCATGGAAACCCATTGCATGAAGTTCTCTATGCACTGTTCTTGAGCTAATCTGAAAGCCACACAAAGTTTGGAGGTCTGTAGCTATTGACTCTGCAGAGAGTTGGCGACTTCTGCACACTGCACGCCTCAACATGCGTTGTCCCCACTCTGTGATTTTACGTGGCCTACTACTTCGTGGCTGAGTTGCTGTTGTTCCCAATTGTGTCCACTTTGTTCTAATACCATTTACAGTTGACAGCGGAATATAGTGAGAAAATTTCACGAATGGATTTATTGAACAGGTGACATCCTATCACGGTACCACGCTTGGATTCACTGAGCTCCTGAGAGCGACCCGTTCTTTCGCAAATGTTTGCAGAAACAGTCTGCATGCCTAGGTGCTTGATTTTATACACCTGTGGCTATGGAAGTGATTGAAACACCTGATTTCAATGATTGGGAGGGATGTCCCAATACTTTTGGCAATATAATATATGCAATGATTAAATAAAATAAAGAGATTTAAGTTTACATATTCATGTACACATTCTGTGCCTTGCCATGCCTTGGGATCCCATTCAAGGTGTGGCCCCGCCTTATGCTGCATGGGATAGGCTCTGGCCCTCCCTAGACATGGATGGATATATGCTTGTATAGAAACCTTTGTGCCACTGTGCACTGTGTAATGCAAAATGCTCATTTTGCTGAAGAGTAGTTTTAATTGATGGGTATAAATTACAGGGGGAATGAAGAGACTGTAACCCCCCAATAACCAAAATCAGCCAATACAACCCCTAGTTTGTATATGTGTTGTTTTGGTATATTTCTTCCCCTTAAAAGACCCATTCAATAGCTGGGGGGGGGGGGGCGGATGCCGCCCCTGGACCCCCAAATAGGTCATTTGTTTTAATCATTTGTTTTAATCAAGCTGTTGTAAATTATATGAATAACTCGATCCATCCATCCATTATCCATACTCACTTGTCCTATGCAGGGTCACGGGGCCCGGAGCCTGTCCCGAAAGCTAATGGCGCAAAGCAGGGAATAACCCGGGATGGAGTGCCGACCCATCGCAGGGCACACACACCATTCACACACACAGTCACAGCCGACCCATCGCAGGGCACACACACCATTCACACACAGTCACAGCCGACCCATCGCAGGGCACCATAGCATGTTTTTGGATTGTGGGGAGAAACTGCAAACTTCAAGAACATGAAGCCCAATTGAAGTTAAAATGATACACAGTGATGAAGCAAAATGGCATAAAATTTTGATGCTCTAATAGACAAATTAGGCAACAAACTTTAGTGTTTTTGCATGCTAACAACAAAAAGATTAAAAATAAGAAGTACATGAATAAAATATTTTGACAAGTAAAATATGGAAGAAAACACACCAGTAAGGAAAAACTGTTGAAAATGCACAGCAAAATATTTTCACATTGACAAAGTTTGCCAAAAGCAAAAAACACAGCAGGATAATGCAGGGGAAATACCAGTCATCAGGATTGTTGTGGTTTTAGGTTCACAAAGATCAAGATGCTCGACAACATGTGATGTAGCTTCATTTCTCATTCAGTCATGAGGAGTTTGCAGCCAGATTTTTTTTGAACTTTCAATAATATCATTCTTAATAGATTTAAAAAAAAATCACATTTTCTCCTGTAAATAATAATGGAAAAAATGTTCTTGATCAGTAATAGACATACTGTAGTGCACAAAACACAAGTCACCCCTATTAAGGCAGAGGGGGTCGAGCTGTATTCCCCCAAAGAGAAGTAGGGAGTTGCTGGCATGGGCCAGTGTTTGTTTTCCTTCCTTGTTCCCCCTGTAATTATAGTGACTCAGTATTGCCATCACAGTGTTCCCTGTCTACAGTTCAAGAACACACCATCTGGCTAACCAGGCCTCTTGCATGTTAAATACTCTTTTTTTTTCAAAATTCCAATGGAAAAAACTCCAACTTCTCAAATCACAATCAAAGCTGAATAGACCGTAGTACAATATTTTTCAATATGCCCATAACCCATGACGCTGTACAACAATGAGAAAAGAATGTAACCTTTCATCCCAATGACAGTAAATGATTTTCACATCATCTTTTTAAAGAACATGGGTGTTTAAAACCTAACTGCGTAAAAGAAGATGGAAAGATAAAACACAGTGATTACGTAACTGTGTTTGGTGTCTGCGTTATACTTTCACTAAGGATATAAAAACTAAATCGCCACACAGATTAATAGTGCAGCATTTTCACCTTGGCTTCAGCAACTTATAATATTAACATAAGAAAAAGCTATTAAAGCAGAAACAGTAGATCACAGATCACAGACTTAACCACATTAGTAATATTATATACAAAATCCACATGAAGGCTGTCCTCTGTCCAGTGCCAAAAAGAAAATCAGGATCCATCCATCCATCACTGTAACCACTTAATCCCAACTGGGGTCGTGGGGAGAAAAGGAGGATTTAAACATTAATTATTAAGAAACATGGCTGTACTTCATAAAATGCAATATAAACCAGGAATCTGGTTCTATTTCATAATATGAAGCAGAGCAGAAATATACCTGCAACTGAATCTTACATGACATTTGCCTAAAAGAACAACACCTACCAATATGAAAAGCTTCAGTAAGACCCAGCTACCTGTGGTTATAAAATACTTCACCCTGCTAATAAGCTCCACTCTACAATGCATAAGTCCCTTTTAATAAGACATTTTCATATTCTTTGAAAATGGTCCGAAATACTTCACATCCCAATTTTAAGATTTTCACAAGACACAAATGTTCCTGCTTTTTTTCTTCTAAAGATTTAATGAATTACAGCTCCTTCAAGTAATTGCTGCATATATAGCACAAAAATATTCAACTAATGCAGAACTTAAAAATCGTGTTCCCTTCAGTCCAATGCATATTACCTTGGTGCATGTCTCCTCTTAATAAATTAGTTTTTCCATTCACGTGACATTTTAATTTCCTTGAACTATTCATTAGCATCCAATACACTGAGGAAGTATTGGAGAAGAGTTATAACACTGTTCATAGCAGTGCTTCTTTAAAAATAGTTAGAGGGCACTCACATGAATAGACTTCCCATAAAGGTCAAATTTTATTGTAATATAACACAGAGCAAGGTTTTGCATGGAACCTGATTTACAGAGTGCTTTCAATTTAATTGGCATACGCCAAGTGTTGAGAGAGCACCTACATTTCAACATTTTCCAGTGAGTGATTGAAAGATGAAGAATATATTTAATATAGCCTCATTTCTTTTGCTTAGATTTTCTACAGCCCAGAAAGTAGTTTCCAAAGTATTATGCCAACGGGAAAAAACATCCTTTAATCATAAACAATTTAAAAGTTCTTGAACATATTTTTAACCAAGTTCATTTAACCCTGATTGTAAATGATTTAAAGTACAGTTAAATTGTATATATTATACATATTTGTTCAAGTTCGGCTTGACAGCTACATTTTGACAGGTTGATAAATTCTTTGTAAATATATATATTTTTTAATTAGTCAAATTTTGTCCTTCAGGTTGACAGTCCAGCCTTTTTTTTTTTTGAAAGATTATAGAATTTAATGTAATTTTAATATATTTTTTTTTACTAAGAAAAAATTATATTACATCTTTCATATTTAATATAAGATTTAAATCTTTAAAAAAAATTTTTTGAAAGATTTCAATTATTTTCAAATATGAAATATATTCAAATGCATACATATTTTATATAGAAAATAGCTTTCTGGCTTTTTAGTTTTACAGCAAACTCATCTCTACACATTAGGAAGATGAGGTGTAGAAAACATGTTAGCCAGTATTAACGGCGACAACAACAGAAAAAAACATAAGCATCAATTTAACTTAAGGAAACACAAATACATTTCATTGCTGCTAAAACAACCAAGCTAATGCAACTTTCAGTGGAAATACTATGATATGAATATTCCAATATTGCAGAAAAAGCACTGGAATATAAAACAAAAAATCTTTTCATACTGTAATTTGGAAGCAGACAAGCCAAATGTTTCTCAATTTGGTCCTTGGGGATGCTGAGATAGTCCATGTTGTGGCTCCTTCCAAGCTCCTTGCTCAGATAGTCCATGTTTTTTGCTCCCTCCCAGCTCCTTGCCAGATAGTTCATGTTTTTGCTCCCTCCCAGGTCCTTGCTAGATAGTCTACGTTTTTGCTCCCTCCCAGCTCCTTGCCAGATAGTCCACGTTTTTGCTCCCTCCCAGCTCCTTGCCAGATAGTCCACATTTTTGCTCCCTCCCAGCTCCTTGCCAGATAGTCCACATTTTTGCTCCCTACCGAGAGCTAAGATGGACCAAAAAATGGGGTCCCCGAGGACTGGGTTGAAAAACACTGGATTAATGAACAATAATATTTCTTCTCATAAAACAACTGAAAATACACCAAATTTTAGAGTCTGTTAACTTGCACCATTGACTGCTGTGAGAAACAGCGCCTTAGTTCAGACACACATCACTCTCACCTCAGCATTCCCTCTGCACTGCTCCGCTCATAACACAGGAAAATGGCTTTTAAAGTCTTACCTTGCGTCCACCTGTGTTGAGGCGCAGGGGAGTAAGAAAGGGGTCAAAGATCATATGGCTGGTTTCTATGTTCACTGGAGACTGTCGCTTTCCCACTGAACAGAGGTTCCAGGCGGAGTTTACTAGACCCCAGAAAGATGGCACTGTATGGAGCAACAGAAGTTAAAGCCAATCAGTTAGTTGAATTCATGCCTGCACCATTTGCATGTGCCTTAATTGATTGCCATATGGCATTCTATGTGCATCTGAGGATATCGCTATATAAAATAAGAAAAAAAACATTACGACTATTCATATTATACAAGTGCAATCAGAGAAAAAAAGAACTGTACAGGAGTCTATACAGCTAGCCAGAAAAGATAAGCTTCAATCCCATTCGCCCGTTTTGCTTTTGAGAACAAAGTCATATTATTAACCCATTTGGCAACGAGCAGTCATCTCGCTACACACTTATGTTATAGAATTTATTGGCTATGGGCACTTAAGCTCTCAGGGGTAACCAGTGTACTTCAGAATCCAGTGCTGCCATGTATAAATCCACACTGTCAGCTTTTGATGTCTGGAGAAGCAGGTGTTTTCTCAGGTCTTGTATCGTTCTCTCTTTCATGTTGGAAACATGGTTAATTTGGGGAAATTGTAGATTTTTTTTTACCACATTTGAACCATCTGCTGCTCTTTGGCTTGGGTCATTTTCCACACACCCTCCCCGTACGACTCAGCCACCAGCGCAGTCGCTGCCGCTACTCATAGAACCGGACCCAGTCCAGCTTTGTAATGGTGACACACCCCGGAGAAGTAAGGGAGGCACAAGGCCGAAATGAAAAAAGAAATCCAAAGAGCACAGTGAAGGCTGGAGTGTGCTGTTAAACCACTGGGGTTTGATTAAAGGAAGGAGGCCCAGACGGGCCGCAATCTGTTGCCGCTGCAGCTCTTCCTTGCCAAAGGTCGGCCACCAGCTGCTGCTTTATTCCAGCCCCACACTCATCCTGTCTGAGGCAAATTACTCCATTTGACAAAATGTCTGGGAGGGGAACAAAATAAACACATTAAAGAATGACTGAGCAGCCTCTGGCTTAAGATGCGCCGAGCTGGACAGTGACTCCATCCTCAAATCAGGAGTGGAGAGAAAGAGAGTGAGTGAGTGAGAGAAAGAGAGAGGGAGAGAGAGAGAGAGAGAAGGAGAGGGAGCGCCAAGAGCTGCTGGTGTCCAAAAATGACAGGAGCCTACTGCTGAGATGGGGGCTGTGAGTCCGTAAGTTGGATCTGTGGGAACCCAGGACTGCGTCATGCATGTTTGTGTAATTATTACAGTTTGATAGGTCCCAAAGTGCAAAGAGCCAGGCGAGAAGGAGGGCACAGGCCCTGCTGCCAGAAACACACAACACCTCCTACGCAGCCTCTCCACTTTGTGTGGCACGACTGAGAGGCATGCATTACTGTCTGCCACTATTTATTACATTTCTACTATTTCAAATTAAGACCAGTTCCTCTTCTACTTTGCACTCTGATGCCCAACTATCGTACAGGCATTTAGCAAGACGCCTATCTATCGGGAGCAGATCACTGATTTTTTTTTTTCCCCCACCGCTGAATTCAACAATTTAATAGCCCACTCAACACTTAAACCAGACAAGCAGAACGAACAGAAATGAAGCCATAATGAAATGAAAACTTTATTAAGGGAAAGATTATGTAACAATAAAGGGGATACCTGTGTTTAGCGTACTGGTGGCAAGGCATACGTTAATTTTTCTCTTCTGGGCTGGAATGTCATTTCATGATGAACGAGCCTCCAAATTGTTTAAGGAGGGGAAAATAATGGACTGGGAAAAATCCTACAAAAACACAGCACACAGTGTTGTTTTGCCTGACATACCTAACTGAATGTGATCCAAAGTCATTAAGTATTCTACTGTGACTATTTATTTTTGATGTATTCATTACAAATCCTGTATAAGACTAAAGCAGAATATTAAAGTATTAATGTCAAAATGACAAAGAAGGACTACTCCCTATCTGAGATATAGAATAAATATGTAATAATAATTGCAGTAAAGTAATGTAAATCTCCCCTCTTAGTCAGGGGTCTAAATGCTGAATATCTACAGAAAGGGCAAGCTCTGTATGTCAGTGCAAAGTCTTTTTCTTCAGAACTAGGGCAGCGATCTAAACAGAACAGAAGTTAAGTTACATCATCAGACGATTTATCCTCACTGTGCTTAATGACCAGTGCCTGTGCTGTGCTCTCCTTTCTGTTTCATCAAGGTTGAGAGAGAGGCAGTATTCGAGTGAGGGGGGTGGGGTCTTGGACTGGAATAGCAGTTACGCTCTCTGTCATTTATTCCCTCCCCCACACTGAAACACTGATCCGGACAGGATAAACACCCAAGCTGTGTGAGTTAATGGGGTAATTTTCTTATAATGTGAATACGTTCTTGTTTTTTTTTTTTTTTTTTTTTTTAGAATTCATTAGTTGATTGATTGATTGATTGATTTTCTTTTTTCTGTGTTAGTGTAGGGAGGGTATTATGTCTCCAGAGTAGGAGGCTTCAGTTTCACCTCTGTAGTCTGTGTGTGTGCGTGTGTGTGAGCATGTATGTGTTACATTGTGGGGACCAAATGTCCCCATAACATGATGAATACCCTTTTTTGACCTTGTGGGGACCTGGTTTTCAAAAAATCTGTGACTGTAATCAAAAAACTAAAAATGCAAAAACTCTTGTATTTTGTTCTCCCACATGACGTGTACGTTTCCTCCCACAGTCCAAAGACAGGCTACAAGGCTAACTGACATTGTGAAATTGCCTGAGGACAGTATGTGTATGTGCAACACAAAGGACTGGCATCTCATCCAGGGTGTACCCCATCCTTCTGCCCTGTGCTGGGATAGGCTCATAGGCTCCAGGAGTCCCACAGTCCTTAATAACATAAGAGATTAGAAGATGGGTGGAGAGAGTATTGTGCTGGGAGTTATAGCTATTTTTATAATGTTGCTAGACAACAAAAATTTCACCCCTGGGGATCAATAAATTTTTGTCTTATCTTGCTCATGCTCCAAACAGACACACTTGAAATACTATTTTTACTACTTTGGGAAAAAGGAGATTGTGTTGAAAATGCTGACAAAGTGAGGGAAGTTCATTTTGATTTCCAGGGGGGGTTGTTCGGCAACCTGTAGCCAACCATATGCTTGACGTGAATTTTGTACACCACAAGTAAAAACAAAGCAAAACATGACAATAATTTAAATAAGCTACAGTTTGAATGTTTGTGGGTTATTTCCAGAGCATCAGACCCCACTGATAAGATGTGTAGTGCACTTCTTGTCAGAAACATTGCAGCAATAGATGTAGAATAGCAGCTGGAGACGTTTTATTAATTCACACTGATAAACAGATTAGATTATAAATTATAAGATTATAAGTTTTATCTCAGAATATCACAGAGAGGGTTAATGATTTTTCTAAAGAGAAAATTATAATTCTTGAGCCACACATCCATCTGTCTTTCATACAGCTTATTCAGTTCAGGGTCATGGAGCGCTGGAAGGCAGGTCCAGGGCACAAGGTGCACCGTGCATAACATTCCAACAGTTAAAAAACACACACAATGAAGTGACACCTATTCACCTAATTGCAAGTTTTTGGATTGTGGCAGGAAACCTCGGCACCCTGTGGAAATCCCTGTAAACAGTTAGAGAACCTGCAAACTCCAAGCAGACAGAGCCGGGGTGAGATCAGTACCTCCAGTCTGAGAGATCTGCTACCCACTGAGCATAATGTGCCACAATCATATCGAAACTGAGGCAAGCAGGATAACAGTATGTAAGGACCTTACATGGGATGTTTAACAACAAAATAAACAAATTTTTGAAGATTATTTCTAATATTCAGCAATACCAAAAATATACAACAAAACAAAATTAAACCAGCTACCGAACACTGTTCAGACAGGGAAATACTAGAAGTATCCAATTAAGGCAGTAAAAAACATCAAAAGCTACCATTAGCCTGAAATAGCTTTAGAGCGTTCAACGTGAAAAACAATTTGTCTGTCAATCTAACATATACTGACAAGCTTTTTCAGGATTTTTAATGGATGATGTTTATTTAGAGGTACAGAGAAATATTTATAAAGTGTGCATTTTATAGAATGTGAAATATTCCACAGTTAGTCCAAATCAATCACATTTTATTCAGCTGGATGCAATTTAGCTGTCATAAAGAGTTCTACAGTAAATTTTCCAAAGGGACCCAAAAACAGAAAAAGACTCATTTACCACTATGGATCTCAATGGTTCATCTTATGACCTTCTGCTTTGCATGTGTTCTTAGTGATCACTGTGTATGTTGTTATGCTTTGATGTTCAAATGGGGAATATTTTATACTTATTTTATAGTCCTGTGGTGTCAACTACCAAGTGATGGAGTAAAAGCAGCTAAGTAAATACTATTAAGCTTGTCAAATTTGAAAAAGAACATGTTTCTATACAAATATAGTGTGTAGCACGTAATAACAACAATAATAATAATAATAATAATAATAATAATAATAACAACTCATGCAAAGAATAAACACCTACTGTGATTGTACCAAGAATGAAAACAAACAAATGTGACTGTTTGTCTACAATAAACATGCTTTGAACACACACACACACAGGTTTGCTATTATATAATTGTGGGGACTCTCCATTCATTTCTCTGGGGGGAAATCTAATCCTAACATAACAACCTTAACCCCTAACCAACCCTAAGCTTAACCATATGCAACCAAACAAGTACAATACTTTTGGCATTTTTAGTTTTTTGGTTGCAGTCACAGATTTTTATAAAATTGAGTTTCCCCTTGTGGGGACCGAAAAGGTGGTCCCCACAACGTCAAATACCCACACACACACACACACACACATACTCAAACACCAATACTCTGTGGTGTGTAAATTATCAAGTGTAACTCTACTGCTGATGATAACAGCAGCAATGCTACTGATATTACTTTTTGAGATTTTAGAATCACTGCAATTGCATCAGACACTGGGAGAGAAAGAAGCGCTTTCAAAGCTGAATGGCTCTATACATCACAGGACGCGGAGCTCTTGTAAATGCTAAAATGATGCTGACACTTGTTACCACTTGGCCTC